TCACAGAAACCGAAAATTAATAATCACCAACTGCACTGAGTTGCATTTCAGGAGACCGTTTTGCAATGTTTTCAAGCCATGAATAGTATCGAATGCTGTACTGTTGCTAAGACTCGACGTATGTTTGGAATCAGCACAAGCTCTCAAAGGTGATACTTAAACCGTGCATCATTAGTACTCCATTATGTTAAAAGTAATAAAATGCAATACGATATAATACACCAATATTATATCTAACAAAATCAATGAGTGAATTTTGAGACATTATAATTTTTAAGAATTTTGTGGATGATTCACTTCACTTGATTTTCGTTTTGAGCTTCACTTTCGCAACCTTACTGGCGCAAGGTACTTAACTACAGGTAAATCTTCCTTAGAATAGCTAGCTAATCAGAACAGCTTCTATCACAAGTGTCGAAACGTGGATGGAAGGGGGCACAACTGCACCAAGCTTAAAAGTCGAAGTTAAAGATCGAAGAAGTCGATAAATGCATTTGCCTGTGCCAAACGATCAACATGCGACACGATCAGGCTGGAAAGATTCAACGGTGAAGCAGGACCGGTTGGCATGCGCTCCATTTCATCAGTAACGTCCTCTTCGGCAACATGAGGCAAAAAACCCTCGTCCATCTCTTCACTTCTACCGTCCTTCCAGCAATGTTGTATGGTTGTGACGTGGTCAGTCACTAAAGCCGAAAAGCGCCAGCTATCTGTTATCATTGGAAAGACGAAAAGAAGAATGTTACGGGCTTCACGTCGCGAATGCATCTTTAACACAGGGATCAGACAGTGGATGGAGATGAAGGACTTCGTGGTCGAAAGCAGAAATGAGAATCTACGATGTCCAGGGAACGTAACTCAGCTCGCCGAGGGAAGATGGTCAGCGACAATCGTCGACTGATACCCTCCCCTCGCGGGTAAACGAGGCTGCTTAATCGCCCAGTACGACTAGAAGGCTGAAAACCGCCAGCAATGATTGCCGGTGTTGCGGCCGGCGCCAGTTATTGCCCGGTCCAAGTGACCCGAACGGATACAGTACTGCGCTTCAGCAGACAGCTTATTAAAGGATGTTTCGATGTCCATAAATGGTCAACTGTTCATTTTTTTGACTCACGGTCAATGGGGTCAAAC